CGGATATTCCTCCATGATTCCAGTTTGAAGGGAGCGTATATGTTCCATACAAAGGGCATTAAAGTGTGCAAGATGTAAATTTAAATAGTATTTATTTACAGAGGTATATTATGTCACACTTCACACTTCTCTAGTAAGTTTCGTCTGTGTGTGAACGCTGCGCTGCGCAATTACGTGAATGAATGTTCCGAAGTGAAGTAAACTTCATCGGATTTCCCCTGCTCAGGGAGTAGGGAGCAATGAACACTGTGTAGGGATCATATCGATCGGAACACAGTTCATGCACGTAGCTCACTTCTAACGAGCTGGTTGTCTGAATCGGGTGTGTTAACTAAGCGAGACATGCAAAATATGCAGAGCGGGGGGCGCGAGGACTGGAATTGGGAACCGCTACATACGTTGACAGGCAGGTAGGAAAGCCAATTAAAACGCTCAGACCGAGCGTTTTGATTGGACGAACATTTCTTGGTCCTACGCCTTCCACAGAATATATAAATACAGATAAATACATTTAGACCACTTAACTTAATGATTGCTATCGGATGTGAAGAGACTTTCAACCAGCATTACAAAGAAAATTTCTGTAGACAATCACCTATTACCCCTTTAAACTAAGCAAGCTCCATTAAAGTTCACCAAAACAATGGAAGCAATCAATAAACATTAAACTTACGTTTGAGCAGGAAACATAAAGGTTTTTCAAACAGGATTAGGATGTAGGTCACAGGCAACTATGAGGCAGCTTCAAACAGAACCAAACACCAAATAAACTTAATTAAACTAAGCAAGTTCACCAAAACAATGGATACAATCATTAAACTTACGTTTAAGCAGGAAACATAAAGGTTTCTCAAACAGGATTAGGAAGTAGGTCAAGGCAACCATGAGGCAGCTTCAAACAGAACCTAGCACTTACTCTACTACTTCCTGTTTTTATTTAATCCAGGGTGAGCTACATGTGTCCCCCTAGTGGCTAGTATGAACATAACATGAACATAACTGTGACAGTAGGTGACTGTTACAACGTGTACAGGAGAGTCCAGGGCTAGTTGTTGCAAATTCTCAGAAACTTGACTAAAGGTTTTGAGTCAAAAAGTCCAATTACACAAATGCGTTTTTCCTCTAGCAGTTGTTTTGCAAACATCTAATTGAAAACTTCAGTCACCTATATGATCAAGATAGATTTTAGGTTTATCTGTGTTCACAAGACAGGGTATGGACCCTTTTCACAAGACTGTGATGACGTGTTTAACGGTCATCAGCATCGTAAATACTCGAAAGTTTTTCATATTTGTATTTTTTTTTAAATGTATCTACATTTATAACACTATTCTTTGTATTATATCACCTTTGCATCAAATTACAAAAAAAACGTTAATGCTAATGCGAGGGTGTTTCTAATGCAGCGTCTATGGGAGGGACGGTAAATTTGACATCGTTCTCTCTTCTGACAGCCGTTATCAGTCTCTCTCAATTTTTTTCCTTTTATTGAAATTCATGAAAACACTATCGTGAAGTTTTTCTTTTGCTATTTGAGCAAATGGGAATGCAAAACATATATTTGTGGTACTCTTCCATTCGCTGCTATTCAAGTTAACCCAACTATGACGACTTCCGCTGCTGAGAAACCCGGAAATGTGAAAAAGGTCCATTATTCATTAATGTCAGCTTGGGGCAAGTTGTCACGTGTTGATTGTAAGAAATTTGTATATGGTATCATTTTTTGGCCAAAACATGTTATGTACTGTATATTATATTTACCTTTTTTTTTTAGTAATTGTATTAGTTTAAATTTTGTTGAAAAGCATAAAGATTCAAAGATTGTGACAACCACATATACTGTGATATTTTAGTAAATAGTACACAAAGTACTACACAAAAAAAGTACACTTAACCATAAGGTTTTGTTTTAAATTCATTAGTTAACACTTTTTTATGTTAACTACATTAGTGAACTAACAATAAACAATACTTCTACTGCATTTATTAATCTTAGCTAATGTTAAATCTCAGTATTTACTAATACAATTTTAAGATAAAATCTGTGTCTGTTAACATTAATTAATGCACCATGAACTAACATGCACATTTCTATTAAGTACCATTAACAAGGGTTAATAAATGGTGTAAAAATTGTTGTTCATTGTAAGTTCATGTTAGTTAATGCATTAGCACGGGAATTACAATATATTATGAAAGTAAGAAACCAAAAATCCTCCAATTAAAAGAAATATATAGTTTGTATTATAATTTTTAGATATTAATAATATTTATGAAATATTTTCTCTGTCATGACCTCATACTATGGGCTGAGACTGATCAGAGCTTTACATTCAAGTGCTGCTTTTATGCACCACTGTGTCTTTACACAGAATTCGGAGGCGGCTCAGAGCCTTCACGAGGCATTATGCAGCGCCTGAAAATAGTCCCCAACATGCTCCCTGTGCAAGCAGGTGGTCACGTTGGTTATGTTGACGGAAGTTAGCCTATTTTCAGTACACAATGTAACTACAAAAGAGTTGAGTTTTAAATAGGAAAAATATAGAAACCCTTTGGTCATTTTTGAGCAAGATGCAAAAAATGATCTATGCTAAGCTAAGCTAAAAGTGCTACCGCCAGACCCGGAGACCTTGCGTTCTTATGAAATCCGTTTTGCATATTGTGAATCATTTAGTGTCTCCAACCCTGAATCTCTTTAAACGGTGCACTGCAACCACCCTCTGATTTGCTAGCATGGCATATCATAGCACTGGTTTGTATTTTAAATAGTAGCTCAATGGCATAAGAAGCAAAATCACAAATCACAAAATGCAAATCACCTCCCCCAATCCCACCCCCACCAGCCCTCTGGAACAAATTATTTATGTATCACACCAACTGAGACTATAAATAATATATTGTGCCCCAGATCCCTGTGTCTAGAATGAAAGCATTTATCCTCTTTTGAAAACATGTAGTGGTATCAGAGCGCAAGGGAGACTTTCTGTAAGTTCAACAAGGGCTGAATCATACGGGGAGAAAAACAACATACAAATAACTTAAACACAAGTGTGTCTGACTTGCTATGTTTGGAGAGCGAGAGGAAGAGGCCTGGAGGAAATATCAGGGTGTAAAAAAGTAAGTGTGAAGACAGAATCAATAAAACCAGATGGCGAGAAATGACACTTTCTTGATGGAGGGACATCCTGTCAAGTTTGGCTAACAGTGTGAGATAGAAGAATGCTAGTTTAGAGCCTGGGAAGGGTTGAGGTTTTGTAGTTATACTTTCTTAATAAACTGATGAGATTAACTTTTATTGCTTTACCATTGTCTATGAAAACTGAATTATTCATTAAAATTGCTATTAAATAAAAGTATTATTATCTAAACAAAGAGTGAATGAAACAAAACAAATTAATATTTATTGGGTTTTTTTTTCAAAAATTACGACTGTAAAAGCAAATACATCTATCAAGTATTCATTGTATTCACATTGTTGCGTTCTGTTGCAGTTAGCTCTGGTTTTTAAGTTTGATTGGCTGATATTTTGTCCACACCACTGGGAATGGTTTTAATTGGCAGAGCAAAAAATACAAAATACTGCAGTGATGGCAGAAACAAAAACTTTGAATTAATTAAAATTAATTCCTTAGCAAAATGATTCACTGTTACGAAGCTGCGCACTGGTAATCATAACATTGTAAAAGCAACGTGAACACAACCTAAATGTTAATAAAACACATTTTACAAACAAATTGCAAATGTTTTCAAACGTTTAATGTATTAAATGTGATCTACAAATCAAAACTACCATTAAATATATTGTATCTTAATTTGTTCTTTCATTTATAGTTTTTGTTTGATGTATTTATTGGCGGGATTTGGCTAATTAGGCTAATCAGGAACTATTACTTATCCCTCTCCCTTTATACTTGCATATTTATTAAAATTCATTCAAACTGAACCCACATCATAAAGCTGGCCAGAAATCTGCTAAAACAATATATTAGGCCATGGTTCATTGGTTAGGCACTGCTCTCTAGCAGAGAACCATAAAAAAAAACGTTGAAACCGTTGACGTAATGAAGCCCTGTTTGCTGAAATGATGTGGCTTGGCCAGTTTAATATGTGCTCCGAACCACTGATTTGAAACAAAGGGTTTGCCAAGGTTTCAAAGCTTCAGGAAACATTGTTTCGAAATCGCCCACCATTACAACACTTTGTACGTTACTAAACATTAAGGTTTTGTTTTCTGAACTGTTAAATGATTCTTTTTTTAACATTTTTTAACTACAGTGGAGCAGCAGTTGAGTATAGTACTCAGAACCCTACTGAGGTTTGTTAGTGTACAACTGCACTATGCACTGGCAATGCATCGCAACTTCTGTTTGTGGGCTTAATGGCAGATGTATTACAAAGTGCAAAGCCCAAAGGGCCAATGAGTGCATGAGGACACCTGTCCAAGGTTGGATTGGGGGGATTCATTGTGGTCCACTCAGGATTTGTTCCCTTCAACGGCTTTGATCTGCAAGTGTTTAATTACTCAATAGTGCTGATGAAGTCCTTGAGGCGCTCAATCTCAGTCCTATCAGACATACAGTACAGGGCTTCATTGAGTTTCCCTCCCACTCTTCCCATCTACAGTTGCTGCATTGGTAAAGACAGTGTGGTGAGGTAAGTCACACCCATATAACACATAACTCTTCACCCGTTCCTGTCTCGTATTCAACACCAAGAGGTGACACTTTCAGGTCATAGGATTGAGGGATGCTCTCTCTCTCCCTCTCTTTCTCTCTCGGTCTCTTTCTTTTTCTCTGAAGTCTCCTGCTGTCAGTTCACACCTTTCTGAAGTGGAGAGAGATATACCTGCTTCCATCCTCTGGCAAACAAGGCTGGCCATCAATCACTGCTGCGCTGAAGCGTGGCCCTCATGGCTTTTTCTGAACATGCCTCGGGTTAAATCTCAACTACTGTTCCTACTCAGCTCCTACTGTCCTAGGATGATTTAAGAGCATTACTGGGAATATGTGACAAAAACACTGGAATTCTGAAAAGAGAACAAAATAATCAAAACTATACCCCAAACAGTTTGTTTGGAAACATATTGGAACACAGGAGATATATGACATGAAAATAAAGTCCCACTTACATCATTTGTGGAGATTTAGGAGAACTGACAAGTTTTACTGGGTTAGTTTTTGCTCAGTAAGAGATTGAGAGTTAGCTTACATTAAGATGTTAACTTGAAAGTAATTTAGATTTTTAAAAATTATCAGACACGATAGAATAATTCAGAGTGAGATAAGCCAACTAACCCAACAAAACATAAAAATGTTAAATCAAACAAAAAGTCATTAAATCCATCGCTAATACTTACTCATGTTTTGCTATTGTTGTCTCTCCAGAATGATGTCACTTCCTGGTGGATGATGTCACTGAGGAAGTGGCTTAAAGGGATTATTAAAGGGAAACAAACAACTAACTGGATGGAAAGGATATGGAGGAAAACGTTCTAAATATCAGTTATGTTAAAATATTGATGTATTGAGATTTGTGTACTTTTATAGCTGGAGGATACTGATCTCATCACTGGACAGAGACCACAGTCTCATCATTTTTAAATAAGTACCATGTAGACCCAATGGCCAAAATGATCATTTGCTGAGCACCAGAAGTCAAATGTACACTGTAAAAAATGATTGTGATTTTAACAGTAAAAGAATGCTACAGTAAAAACATGTTAACTGGTTAACAGTAAGTTTCCATATACTATATTCGGTGAATAAATGTAATTACATTTAATGTAATTTTACAGTAAAATACTGTTAAAAATACAGTTTTTGGTAGTGATAAAGAAAAAGTCATTGTATAATTTACAGTGAAAAACCGTAAATTGACACTCCCAGAATTCCATGCA